CTTCAAGTGCAGGTATGTCCAGACTCATGCTGCTCTTGAACCATACCCTCTTGCCAGTGAAATATGGATAACTAGTGGTATCTCTACCACTCAGACTGTGGATTGAAGGGTTGGCACAACACTGTGAAGGTCCCAGTGCCACAACCATTTCATGTATAGGGAGGGTATATGCATTCTGGCCTAGTTCTCACCCACAGCTCTGTTAGATCACTGAGGTGCGTGCACCATAGTACAGGCATGTGGTAATGATGTCTGTGTGATTGGCATATACGACAACTCTGTCAACTCCCTCATTCTGGACACTGTAGAGAGTGTGGAGGAAGATCCTAGTGTCAGCCTCATGCTGTGTTGATTCAAGAGCAGGAACATCCATAACAGACCATGCTGTGAGCACCACAGTCTCTTCTTTGAATCCACCACCCAGGTAGAGATGAGTTGGGCCAAGACCAGGTTCCAGTTGTTCATCCGCACACCACTTCTCACAAAGGAAGCTCAGCAGGTTTGCTTTGTTAGCAGACTTTCATGGCTTTCAGAATATTAACTTGTTTCGGCAAATTCAGATGATAAATACAGCTTTGAAGCTTGTAACGGCATAATTACAAGCAGAGAACGGAGTAACTTAACGTCACTGCAGGCATAACAACAGCCGGTGTTTCTCGTGAGTGTTTTCCCCGGGAAACAAACACAATGCACACAAACGCAAAAATACACAAACACACACACACCTACTGTATACACACACACACACACACACACACACACACACACACACACACACACACACACACACACACACACTCGTGAGCTTCCCCCAGACCAGTAATCCAAACGAAAATATCTTCCCTCCGTAGTATTTTGATCATTTGCTCCGCTAATCAATCAGATCGATGGATTCCAGAGATTTTTCTCAAAAATGATGTAACAGTCAGTGGGCACCACTTAACAGCCAATCAGAATGAGAATATGTTTCACATGTGACTTATTCAAATTGCGATGTGATTGAGTGACAGATGAAGGTTGTTTAGGAGAAAATGTTGGAGAAGAAAAAGTTTGAGAGTGGCGCTCGGAAAAGGAAATTGTTGAGGGAAAAGGAGTTTCGAGACAAGCAGCCATTACAAAAAATGCCGAAGCCTACAGGTTATTTTAAACCTGTAGGCTAGGATGAGGAGGAAGGACAGATTAGTTCTGTACCGAGCGGCAGCGGTGCCGGCCGCGGGGCCTCGGTGCCAAGTAGGCCGTCTGGTTCTGATAGTCGGGAGAGGAAGAACAGACAGGAGGGACATTATCTGTTGGAGGAGATGGAGAGGACGACGAGGACTTGCTACGTGGAGGGGAGGGGAGCCAACGGCAACCGGACAAATACATGAGGGAGGCCCGATACGTCACTCATCTGGAGGCGAGGACCAAGGCGCGCATAATGCAGAGTGGAGAAGTGCGATCACAGAGCCTGCCGAGGCTATAAATGACTTTGATTTGTTGTTTAAATAGGGGGGCTACAAAACCTATCAGCCCCAGGGCCTGATGGCTGGTTAAGGCGGGCTTGCATATGAGGCCAGACTCGGAGGGCTTTCCTTTGCTTCCAGCCGTAAGATTGTAAACAAAGTCACGTTACTGGGGGCAGATGACAGCGCTGACTTCCGGTGTGTTTCCCGCAGCGAGACGCTACAATACTAATTGTGGACTTAGGCCTATCATGTTTATTCGACAACAACAGAAAACAAAACAAAAACCTCTCACTCTCTCCAGAGGGGCAGGTCCTTAGACCCTCACATCGTACAAGGAAAAAAAGTGGTAGTGGTCAGCCTTCTCACCAAACATCTTCTGGCAGTCCCTTCCTGAAACAGACCAGCTGCAACAAGAATATCCTCTGCACCTGCATCCCTGATGATCTTGCAAACAGCCTTCATGTGTTAGGGAATAATTCTCCTGGACTCCTAGATATCTATCCTTTTGCCCTTTGACGTTTATGACCAACCCTGATGTCTGTTATCTCCCTTAAGGAAAGGGGCTGCTTCAGCCATATGTTGTTGTTCCCATTTTATGACCGGGCAACTCTCGGTCACAAATGGTTTATTTTTGTGAGAACGCTGGAACACTTCCTTCTCGGTGTTTGTGGACTCCAAGGTGTGTAATCTTCGGTGACTCCCACTGCATTGCTACACAGAAGTTTCCCCCACATCATGAGCTTGGTGAAATCCCCCCAGCAGCAGGACTACATTGCAGAACTCATCTCTGTGCTTGTCTCTGATGGCAACTGCGAGTTCATATGTAGCCTGATCTCCAATGATAATGGTATACTTGTCTCCCAGTGCATGCGATGTCTTGATCAGCTATTTAATTTCTTCTTTCAGGACAGCAGGATCAGTTAGAGATGCTGGGATGAGAGGAAGATAGCCAATGATACTGGCCGGTCTGTGTGGGTGGAGGTCTGCACAGAAGGCAGAAAAGCCAGGCAGTCCTGCTTCTGCATCTGGAGGAGCCACCAGCCATTCTGAAGTTGTAACCATTCTTGCAAGATGCCACATAAGTAACAGGTCTTCAGCTTTGCCATCTGAGGAAGTATCCAGACTCTCTAGCTTCTCAATATGCTCAAGTGACCTGGACCTCTGCCTGTCTTTAGCTGAGACGTGTCACATGGGAGCAGGTAGATCAGTAACATCTGAGAGAGTCTTCTTTCTGTCCGAGGTAGAAGTGGGGAGTCTGGCACCCTCCTGGACCCGCACATCTTTTGGTTTTCAATTATGATTGCAGTGGTGGCATTCAAACTCCCACCCTCCAGTGTCTTCTTCTTCCAGTCCAGATTGTCCATAGCAAACACATGGAGGATCTCGCTGTTTTTCATCATGGTCTCTGGGATGTAAACACCATCCGTTTCAACCTGCTGCATGACCTTCTAACTTTGTGCTGGTTAGCTATTTTGTGTTCCACTTCTGATCATATCTGTTTTATTGTAGTTAATAACTAAGAAAGAGAGTATGTGAAATAAATGTTTTGCCACGAGGAATTTTGTTTATTTTCATGATCAAATAGGATATTGTTCACAAAAACAAAGACATTGATTTGCACAAATAATAAAAGGGTATTGATTTGACATTAAGTTAACTTCCAGATAAATGTAACTCAGTTTGCCTTGTCCTATAACATAGAAAACCTTCAATTAAAGGGTTTTGCAAGAAAGTGGCGGCCATTTTGAATTACGCTTGCCTTTAGCTTTTCCAGACCGTAAACTGAAAATCTGTAAACATTGAATCAATTCAACTTAGCATCGGCAGCAAACCTTGTGTATATTAATGTAAACCCTTCGATATGTTATATAGAAATAATCTTTTAAGTATATTTACCCATTTTGAACACAGCAAACAATCCAGAGGACCACAAGTGCATTGGCTTGACATGGATTTTGCTTTTGGAGAGACAAAAAAGGCACAGCGCCATCTAGTGACCTTATGAGAACAGGCTTAATCAAGGCATCACCTGAAAGCTTATTTTCTGCTCTTTCAATAGGTTGGTTCAGTTTGTCTTTACCATGACTGTCTCAGAGATATTCAATCAGAAAGAGAATGATGGCATCTGATCCAGACAGAATTTGTGACTTTTTTTTCATATATGGGTTGAATTGTTTGGACCCTCCACTGTAGCTTTCCTAGTAGCTAGTTACCGGGTTGTCCACCCAGGTTGTGATCCTTGAAGGTCCTAAGATATCATTTCTGGTGGACAACCTTTTACAACATTCCATGTCTGTAAAATGACTTTGCCCCCTGGGTATACGTGGGAAACTCTAGGACAAACAGGGTTAGGGTAAGAATGAACGTATTAATATGTTTGCTAGACAATGGGGACATTGAATCAGCATTACATGGTAATGGGTCACTTCCTGGGCTAGTCCTACCCCAAACAAAGAACATTCACTGTATACAGCATATTAGTAATGGCAGATGACTTCAGGGTCCTTTGACAGCAATACATAAACATTGCGGCCATAAATACCAGATAATTGTATCTCTTATGATAGCAATCGGCAACATTTAAAGTGACAGCGATGTGGAGTAGGTAAATAATTGCTTTCTAAGCTTAATGTAATAAGGGAACATATTTCCTCCCAGCAAAGGGTATGTTTTAAACAACACTATAGCATAGGCAGAAAGGATCCCTTAGATCTCTTGCATCAACACAAGGACATTTCTGAATGCATAGTATTCAGTTTGCTCAATTAAGTTTAAGTATGAACTGTAAGAGCTAGTGTTTCAATTTTATACGAGTCAGAATGTATCCTTACACAAGTCTGCGACCTTGTCTCCACATTAATGTCTTCCTCATGTTAATGTCCTGTTTTCTCTTGGTAGAAAGATTGTTCTCAGATTGTCTAGTGTTTTCTCTATTACAAAGAGCCAATGTTCTCCAATGTTAGCTTGTTTAACTTAATCGGAGGAATTGTGAGCGAGGTACTTTGTATTTTCCCTGAATTTGTTTGAATGAAAGTCCGTTAGACCCAACTATGTACTTCAACAGAAAATACTGAGTATGTGGAAAATGACTGTTAAAGGACAACGGTATGCATTCATTTTAATTATCGAAAAATCCAAGTCCAAAGTGTGAGGTCAAAGAGGACATGGAATAACCGATGTTGATAAAACACCAGGAAAGAACTGTCAGCATTCAAGGGAAACTTTATTACAGGATTTTTCTTGAATGAGTACATGGACCGTTCACCAAATATAGTGAACAGTCGCAGGACCTATTCCAAAAGAATAATTTAAGATGTCTTTCATATGCACTTTCCTGTCAGATCAAAGAATTTACTAAACTTTGAGCTTAACTGAAATCTTGTTGTACCATCAATAGAAGCCACATTTCCCATGATTGAATGATCACATTCATTCCCAGTATTGATAAATAGGATCAATGTGACAACCATCTCCTGTCAAATATCTTACAGTCTGAGGGAAATTCACTTACTGGCTTAATTGCTTAGTTTGAAGAGGTACAACTGTGGTACACATTCATGAACTCTGGCTTACCTCAGCCGGATGTGACTGTACAAACACGCCTTCCGCATCCCTGAAGCGCCTTTCCAACTCAGTGGTGTATTGACGTGAAGGATGTCTCTCTGGCATAACCCGGATGATCTGAGAAAAATATAAACGTGTTTATTTTAAGACAATAAACTTAAAGGCAGCATATACCGGATTCAACTGTCTTCTCAATTCTAAACTTTGTTTGAAATGGAAAAGTTGGCAGTAAAGAGATGTGCAGGTTCCAAATCATTGCCATACAATGTGAGTTATACAAAATGCACCCTGTGTTTACTTTTTTTTGTGTTGTGTTTCCCGGCAAACATCATTGATATCACTGATAACACATGCTTTGTGTTACACACATTCATTACCACATAATTGCATATGGTATGATCATGGGTTTTGGACAAATTTAACAAATTGCATCTTTAAGGAGACAATATTCCTACCTTTTTTAAAACGCCTCGGTTGACCTGGAACCACAACCTCTGGAGAACTAGCTCATCCAATCCCTCCACATGTAACCTCTGATGGACCAGCAGAGGAGAGAAGTGTAAGAATCATGTTAAACATAATTATGTAACAATTTTAACCGAAGATAATCCAAAATCATTTTGATGATACACTGAATTGTAATTAGTTAGTAATAAGTAGTTTATTACAAGAGAAATGCAAAAAGCTTAACGGCACCAAGTTTTGATATATCTAGCCCTTCAGGGGTATATGTCTCCCCTTTCAGAAGAGTAATGTGAAAACAACTATCAAGTCAGCACAGTCAAGGTCAGACACTTACAGGAACATACACATTTTTCAGTTAAGGAGATTTTTGGACATATATAGGGAAGTCAAAATCATATGCCAGGTTGAAAGTGAAATACTGTGTAAATTCCTGCAAGCGCAATATATAAAACACAAAAGGTCTTATAGATTCAGCACTTCAGTGTAGTATTTGTTTTGTATTTCTTCTTATTCCCCTTTATTGGCTGCTGATCTTTATTTGAAAGACTTAATGTCTCTAGATGGAACAGTTAATGTTCAACAAACTACTTTACGGGAGCAAACAAATACATCTTAGTGGCAGCCAAGTTTTATTTAATTTTCTTAGAAAATATTTAGGGGAAAATATTTAATTGGGACAGCGGGAGAGAATGGACAAAGCCTTGAAAAAACCGAGTAGGTTGACATGTTGGCTTGTAAGACACATGCCAAGCTTCATCTGAGGAATCTCCTGAGCCAAGTCCTCTGGCAGGAAAGTTAAATAAGTCACTGAATCAAGAACAAGAATTGTGACTTTTACCATTCTGTTAATGTTTGACAGTTTGAAGACTTCCTCATAATGGACCCTGATGGTGTAGTTGATGGGGAAGTTGTGCTTCTGTAATACATGGAAAAGGAGAGATTCATTAGCATGTGTCTTTCATCAATCAGAGAGCTGTAAACTTTGTTTGTCTTTCAGGAATTTGGTTGTTACATTTATGTTTGGAGTTAGCAGATGTACACATATAAACTTGTGGTTGGTGCTGGAAAATCATTAATGAGAATGTTGCTAAAAGTATGTCAGACAGCATTCAAGATATTGTGCATGATGGATAAAGGGATAGTACTGATTCATTTAGTGGTCCAATTGTCGTAAGAGCAGTCATAAACTTAGAATGACGATTAAGGATAGCTCAACTAAAGTTACACACCAGTTTATTTGTAACTTGGAGTACTTCTCAGCTTGTGATAACAGTTCTATAATGTGCTTTGCTGCTCTACTCGACCTTTGTCAAGGTAAATCATACTGATGTCCTTTGATTATGATTAACTTGGGCTTTGACTTCATTTCTAAAAAGAGACCTGTGCAAAGAATAATTTTTAAGACATGGCCATTTACAAGTCAGAGTAGGTATACAAAATATACTTTCGAGTTGCATTATGGGAATTAAAGGTACAAGTGTTTTTGGAACCTGTATGGAAGGACTCAAACTAAAGCTATCTCTGCAACCTGTCCTGTAGAAATGTGTCCTCTTGCATAAGCCCAATGTTTCTGAAGTGCCCCTTTTAAGGTTAATTGATACAGAAAACCAAGGTTTCCCTTTTTGTGGAAAATGTCTAATCGTTATCATTATCATTAATTATTGTTATCTTTTTGTCTGGGGACATACAAAAGAACCTCAAATTAGAAGTAGAGAAAGGTTCTAAAAGATTACCTCTAGAATAAACCAAATCATGTGTTTATTTGAGGGTCAAATTAGCTAGCTTGCCTCCATATTGACTGAGACATGCTTGCAAATGTGTCATCACTCTCTCACCATGTACCGCCGCCTGTTGCTGAGGCTACCGTTGAGTGTCTTCAAGGCTGTGCACATGCTGGCTGGTGTTGGGGCCATCATAACAGGCGATAGCAGAAACAGGCCTACGGAAACCAGAACAAATAATGAGATGAACTGCATTACCAGTCATGTATACTCTTTTCACATGGCCCTTTCAGGGATTGTCCCAACCATGTGTGTAAAAATAATACAGTTAAAGTACTACAGGTGTAACAGTTCTAAAACTAAGAACAAAACCACAATATAAACGTCTATGGTCTCGTGTCATATCAATTTTCCTGAACATTTTATTGCCAGGAATTATAGGTAATAATCTGGGTTTTATTCTATTCATTTACAAAAATTATTCCCTGAGATATATCATTTTAATCTCAACCAGGAGAATGACATTTGGACAGCAAATCCATCCAATGATCTGTTGAGATATTTCAGTTTTTACCAAAGTGGAGGAACCAATCAACTGACATTACCATTCTTGGGTAAACATATCTCCCGGCACCTCTGAAGTCTAGTAGTAACAAGGTAATAAAAATTGACAGCAAATACCCCAACCTCTTCTTAAAGGTGTTAACGATGTAATATTATTGTATTGCCTTTACTACTGATCCTCAACAGAGGTCATATGACCATTCAGACATTGCCTTTCGTTTTTCTGGACATTATTAGCGTTTTTCAAGCAACGGCTGTGTTTTTTTACACTTTATAATTTACCTTATGTTAAAACGTCCTGGTAAACCACAGACACGTGTCAAACTTCCAGTGCGATTAAATCACCACCAATTGAGTCAAACTAGAATATTTAGAAAATTGCCTGACATTCTTTATTAAAGGGCCCATGTCATGCTTTTCCGGGTATTACCCGTTCCCCTTGTGTGTTATGAAGGTTTTTCTGCATGTAAAGGGTCTGCAGAGTCACAAACCCTCAAAGTACACCCTGTAGGGGAGTAAAACTCTAACACAGAGAAGACCTGTCTATGCTGCCCCAGAACGCCTCGTTGGAGATTTCTCTTTTTCCATTGTTTACTTCCTGGGTTCTGTGACGTGTGAACACCCAAATCAACAACAAATGACCGGATTGGCCCAAATGGACCAATCCGCGGAGCACCTCACACAACAGGGAATAGACGAGTTGGGATTGCGGAGAAATGCTCTCCGCAGACCCATTCTCACAGCGTTATAAACCTTTTTCTTACTCAATATCAAGCCACACTTATTGTTTTTACTTCGGCTGTGAGTGTGTGTGTGCTCAGGATGAGTTTCGCTTGTTCTCTCTGTATCGCCGACCCGGAAGCCTGTCCGCTCCTCGCAGCAGCGGCGAGCAGCAACGAGCCTCGCAACGAGCCTCGCAACGAGCCTCGCAACGAGCCTCGCAACGAGCCTCGCAACGAGCCTCGCAACGTTCCGACCAAAGAGCACACTGGGCTCCCAGGGAGAGGGGGGCAGGAGCTCCAACAAGCCGTTTAGGACAGAGTGAATACTCATACTATACAGAGATGCTGTTTGAGAAACAATGTGAGTTTGGAAAATTGCACAATATAAATCTATTCTAGTAGACCTCAACAATGGAAATATGATCAGTAGAAATGGCCATGACATGGGACCTTTAATACTATAATTATGTTGTTGCATACGGCAATACTCTACTCCGGTAGAGCTTTCTTTCTTTTTATAAACATCCTGCAACGTCAAACCAACCGGCTGTCATGGGGCTTAGCTTGTTTTTTTACTTATTTACTTCAACTTATCCGCTTTCACCCTGACATCAGTGAACCAATCATCTTGTTAAATTCAGTAATCAGTCTGTTCTCTTCTGTTATGCTTTTAGCTGCCATTTCAGTATTTCCTATAGATGCTTCACCGCTCCCACCTTAAATAAGGATCTAGCCCCAGGTCCCCTCCTAAGAGCCCCAAACTAGATCACCATCTAGCCTCCAGCCCTTCAGGTGTGGGTCAAACAACTAGTAATGCTACTGCGACAGCTATGAATGTGGCAGATTTTCACATGTGTGATCTGAAAAATAGGATGCAAGACTCCTGACAGTGTTGTTCAGGTTTCTTTAAAAGGAAACACATGTCCTTTTGAATGTAGAGTATTACACATCTGTGTGAGTGTTGACTGAGGAAAAGAGAAAGTCTCACAGGTGGGAGTGTGAAACTGCTGCTATACTATCTGGAAGTCTTTGTGTGTGAAGATCAAGGAACAACTCATGGATCAGAAAACTCATCACTATAAGATGTAGCATGCAAAAGCAGCATATAGAAGTACAGACATTACAGTTGACCTTTGAGCAAAAATGTCGACCGCTTATGAGATCCAGGCTATGTAAAACACAAGTCATATTAATGGTAAATTGGAAGTAAAAACTCAGCCGTTATGTCAGCATGTTTGTCTGTGCAAACTGTGTCTGTGTTTGGTTGTACGCGTGAGGGTCAGAATAGATTCATTGCCACTGTAAGACCTTATATTATTTATACTTTTCAATATAACTTTTCATAGTATGTTTGTGGTACGAGTTGGAGCAGATTTCACCAAAAACACACAATCAGGGGACAAACAAGTTTTGATGTGCTGTGTCTCACCTCTTCGTTTATTTGTAAAGTGCAGTGTTTACTGGAGCAACCACCACGGCTGTTGCTTGAATAACTTCAGTGATTTAGCCAAGAAAGCCATTGTTGAGGGTGAAAAGTGTCAAGCATTCCACATTAAACTGTTTGACTAAAATAAGTGCACCATCCAAAACTCATCATGCTCTGCAATTTGCCATACTTCTCAGTGTGAATGCGCTTATGCACTCAAATAGCAAAGGTGCGTACAGTAATAAATAAGGGCAAGCTTTAGTTTAGCATTGTACTTCTTCCTATGTACCAAGTGAGTGATAGCCTGTAGCAAATGTACTCCATAAACTGTGATTACTGTCAGCATTGCTGTGACACGTAACACTGCAGTCATCTTTATACATGGGAGGCCAGGACTCTCAGCTACCAACGAACAAGACTACGCAGAGATGAGACCAAAGCCAGCTGGGTTTCATCAGGGCAGGGGGATACAGTGATGGGGAATCTGTTCATGGTACTAATGGGACATGGAAATGTGATCCAAGAGGTCTAGCTTGAGATACTAATATTAATTTGGCAAACACAGTGCCTGACCATTTTTGCCAAACAACGCATTCTTTCACCAGAAACCCTACATTTATGTAACCCTGCTGTGCCGAGTGACTGGCTCCATTGGAATTTATAACAAAGATAATGTCAGTCTGTTTGAGGCATACAAATCTAGTCTGACTAGCGACTCATTAGGGCTGTATTTAACATGCTTACAATAAAAAATGCTTTAATGCTAACATGAAATCTTTTTTTTTAACCAAAAACGTAATTTTCTTTTCATGTTCTTACACAACGAGAACAATATTAAAATGCAATATTGATGACGAAACAGGGCAAGATTCAAAAGTGAAAACTTTAGAGGAATCCCTCTTTATTTTTCTAACCTTTTCTAACCTAACCATCTTTCTCTGTCACTCTCTCTCGCTCTCTCTTTGCTAAAGACTACATCTAAAATACATGCCAAAATTAACAATGGTACAAACATGGAAATCCATCCAATCCAACATTTTAATTTTTTACACACATTTTACTTAAAAAACCAAAGCTTTCAACCTCATTGCGATGCTACGAGTACAGTCTGGGGCTCACCAAATTCAATAATACTCATCCACCAGCCATGATGGATATCTTAACAAATGTTTATATACCGGGAGTTTTCCCGGTGGGCCGGTGCTGTGCGTGGGCCGGAGGGCCAAAATCCTACCGGCCCACATTTGTAAGTGTTCCAACCACTCCCTGGAGGGGTGTGGCCCACACCCCACTGGGCTGGGCTGGGCCGTTTTGATAGGCTATCATCAGGTAGATAGAACATATCATATAACAGATTCTATCAGATAGTTTCACTTTCACACATCAGGCCCGTAGCAGCTGTCACTGTGCAGTGAACGATCAGGAGTGAGTGACTGAGAGACCTAACTGGCAGTTGCTTACAGATGGATAAACAAGCTCCAAAGCGTAAAGGCGTTTTTGTATAGTTTGTGTATACAGTACAGTATACAGTATTGTAGCAAGCCCTGGGTTCAGAGGGAGGGGCTTGCATAGGGAGGGGGGTGGGGGTTGGCAGGGAAACGGGGTTCAGGGGGAGTGGCTGTACCCGTAGGATAGAAAAGGGGGAAGTGACGTCTGACTCAGAGGTCGCGCGGCTGTGGAGAAGAACGTGTTGCCCACATTCTGTTACTGAGTTTAGGCTAGTTAGCTAGCAGGTTTATTGTTTTGGGTGCAGTCACTTTTGCCTCCACTTGCTGTTCAAATAAATGTTGAAAGAAAAAGTAAATCTGTTCATATGGGTGTTGAGAGATGTATCCATAGATTTAGTGCCTAATTTTGCTCTCAAAGTGCACCAGATTGATGCATTTAACTTCAACATTTAAAAATCTCTTCCCGGGGGAGCATGCCCCAGGACCCCCCTAGAGGAGGTGAGGTCCACCACCTGCCCACACCCCCTGTTAAATTGTCTCACCCACATTGAGGATAATTCCTACGCCCATGTTTTATTCCATGTGTCAAGTCAGGCAAATTGGGTCCAAATGTTATTGCATCAATGATCTGTTAACATTAAAATCACTAAATATATGCTGTAACTATTTTTGCTCTAGGCAACTCAAGGGCTCAGGTAATGTGATTACTATATGAATAATGGACCAAAATAACATTAAATGCATAGGGTTTTTTGTTAAGTAACATACTTTCGTTGCCGGCCGGCTGATACATGCCGCGCATTAAGTGGGCCTGTCTGTCAATTAATCCCAGGGCCACTTTTTCCTCCCAGTCCGCCCCTGTTTATGGCAATACATCCAGTGGTTGCTGAGATATTTTAGTTTGACCTCGACCTCAATTATAGAGAGCAGATGTACAACAAATTATCCTGTTTATAAGTACAGGAGTAAATGGCTTGTTTGATGGGGTGAAGCCACTGTAAGCACCCAAGGGAGTACAAGTTGATTGCTTTCTTCTCAAGACACAAAGCGTAAGGCCCAGGTTAGGAGAATGGATGACAGGAGTCACTGTCGGTG